GAGCCAGACGCCCTCCCCCAGCTATGCCCCGTGTCCAAAATCATGCAGAAACACCAAGTAATAAATTCAAAAGAGCTGTTTCATCGAAGCCCTTTACAGAAAACATTTATTTCTTCCAAAATGCATTTCATTGTACTGGGAACGATGGTTCATGTTTAGGCATTTATGGGATATGCAGGTAGCTTTGGAGCTGTGGTGACTCAAGTGGTTAAGACGCTGAACTGCAGGCTATGGAAGGTCGGTAGTTCAGCAGTTCGAGACCTGGGTGCCGCATGACGGAGGGAGCTCCCGTCTCTGGCCCCAGCTCCTGCCAACCTAGCAGTTCGAAAGCAAGAAATTGCAAGTAGATAAATAGGTTACCTTCCCTTCAGTGGGAAGGTAACAGCGTTCCGTGCGCCTTGGTGTTTAGTCATGCCGGCCACATGACCACGGAAACGTCTTCGGACAGCGCTGGCTCTTCGGCTTTGAAACGGAGATGAGCACCGCAACCCTAGAATCGTATTCGACTGGCTTTCGAGCAAGGGAACCTTTACCTTTACCTTTAGGTAGCTTTGATGCAGCGTTTTAATGTTTGGAGAACTGAACTTACAAACCAGTGACGGCTGCCTCTCTCCCTTCCTCCCCCATCCATCTGCCCTCAGTCACTGTACGTCTCTCTCCCCATCCTGCTGGAATGCAACCCGTTCCAGAGCGAAGGCCGCGACGGCTGGCTGGCCTCCCCTCCGCTGCCCGAAGAAATCCGCAAGGTTGTGGTGATCTACCAGGCCACCCTGGACCTCCTCCACCAGTACAGCGTCCACCCGGAAATCGCCTCCCAGATGTTTGCCTACCTCTTCTTCTTCTCCAACACTCTGCTCTTCAACCAGCTCATGGAAAAAGGTGCGTTTCTTCGCTCACTCGCCCTCTCGGTGCTTCTCTTCGCTGCCGATAGAGCCGGGGATCGTCATTAGAAATGGCCGCAGGTTTTTCTCCCCTGCGTGCATCATGTTTTGATGGGCACCACTTTTGGCTCGTTGCTAATTCCTCCTAGTCTCTAGCCCTTTCTGCCCTCGTATTTTGCCTTGGTTTCTGAGCGCATCCTATTCGTCTGTTCTGCATTCCCGCCCACTTTCACTTCCAGTTTCTGCTGGAGCTTTTTCTTGTTTCTGCATTTCTTTCACAGGAATCTGCATTCAGACGGCTTCCAGCACACGGTTTCTCCGTAGTTACCAAAACTCCTTTTGCTGCGATTCTTTGTTCTTAATCCTTTTTTGAATCTCTAATCCTTTCTAAAGTAGAATTGTTTTTGCGGGTTTGTGTCAGGGCTTTTTCTTGTTCCTGCATTTGTTTTACAGGAAACAGTTGGTTTTACAGGAAACAATTAGCTTAGTGATCCCAGGCCCCAGGGAGGCCAGGCTTGCGGCAACGAGGGCCAAGGCCTTTTCAGTGGCGGCTCCTACCTGGTGGAATGAGCTCCCAGATGATCATCGATTGCGGGACCTCTCACAGTTCCACAGGGCCTGCAAGACGGAGCTCTTCTGCCAGGCTTTTAATTAGGAGCTGCCACTACCACCACCACCAACTATTTGGTGGTAACAATGGGGTGATGGGATGGCCCAGTATAAAGATCTCGCTACAGTATTGCGATGGGGTCGGGGCCGCTGAAGCGGGCTTTTGGGTACATCTACAGGTCACCATCGGATTCGATTGATTTGATCAAAACGGTAACATCATTGAGCACTTTATTATTGTTAAATCTGGTTGGTTTTATGCTGTTTTTAATGTTTTATGTGGCACATGTTGCCCTTCTTTGTAAGTAGCTCTGAGCCCGTTTGCGGACTCTATATTTGTTCTACCAGTTCAGACCAACAAGGCCGACCACCTGGATCTGTCTTCATGAGAGACTTTCAAAGGTCAGGATACATGGAGGTTGCTCGGTGGGGCACCTAGGGGGCAAAGAGATCTTCCTGCACACTTGAGGCACTCCCCAGGGGTGCAGAAAAATCTGAAATGTAGAAAAAACAATAGGGGAGATACTTAAATCCCCCCAAAAGTAAAAGAATGTTCCCTACGCATGCGCAGAGAACACTCCAGGAACTGTACTTTCCTGCCATTGTGGGGGGGCGCAGGAGAGAAGACTTGGTGGCCTGGCAGCTGGGAGCCGCGTGGGCCTCGCCGTTGGTGCCGGGGGTGGGGGAGAATGCTTGGCGGGCCCGGGCCTCGCTGTCGGTGCCAGGGGGCGGGGGAAACGGCTTGGCGAGCCTGGCGGCTGAAAACCGTGCAGGCTTTGCTATCGGTGCCAGGGGACAGCGGAGAAGGCTTGGCGGGCCCGGTGGCTGGGATGGGAGAAGGCTGGGGCGCATGGGCCTCGCCATCAGTGCCGAGTGGGCGGGGGAGAAGGAGAGAAGGCTCACCTGTGGCTGCTTCCTCCCCCTCCACGTGGAGCTCCCCCCTCCCCGCGAGGATCGCGGGGCCCCGTTTCTTGTGTTATTTCAATCTGCATAGCCGATGAGACCTTCAGTGGCCCATCAGAAGCCCTGCTGGATGAGCGCTCCGCCAGGGCCCCACCCCACCTACTTCGTAAAAAAACTTGGTGGGCACTAAGGAAGGCGTTGGCAGGCGGCATGGCACCCACAGGCGCCCCGCGGGGGCCCCCTCTGTTTGCCAGTGGAGTAGAAAGACCCAAAGACCAATGTTCCCTCTAAACTGTGCAATCTTGTTAGCAAAAATTCTACTTTGTGAGCTGCTGGCATTAAAGTGGTGAGCGGGTGATTTGGCGACTGCATCAATTAGTTTGCTCTGGAGCCCTCCTTCCTGAGCCGAGACAAGAATGTGTGAGCTGGAAGCTAAAAAACTGAGCTGGAAGCTAAAAAACTGTGAGCTAGCTCACACTCACTCAGCTTAGAGGGAACACTGCCAAAGACTATGTTCTGCTTTCCTCTGGTACGACATTTCTCTGATTTGTGCAACTCAGACGTACAACCTTAACAGATCTCCTGTGCCCCTCCCCATGTTGGAGCCAACCTCTCAGAAACCGAATCGGGCAACACACGCCCGCCACCAACTCAGTGCTGTTTAACGGCAGAATTTGCTGCCGGGCCCCGCTTTGAGACAGAGAATGATGACATGCCACCGCCGGGTGCAGTTAATTGAGAAGAAATATTGCTCTCAGCTCATTCATCATAGCTGCTCACCCCGGTATTCCAGCGTATGATGCCTGCAGTGCTCAAAAGGTGATCGATGGTCCCACTTCCTTTGCTCTAAATTTAGGGCAGGTAGATGGGAGGGAGGGAGGGAGGGAGCGGATCGGACTTATCTCCGGATACCGTCGCCTGGGCATGCCCAGTCAAGCACGTTCTGGGGAGCTAGGAAACCCCTTTGTCTCCTCCCCGGTGGAAACGAGGCCTGAGCACCAAAGTCGATGTGACACCAGACGTTCCGTAAGGCCCTTTCCGCCGTAGACCTTTGATCCTAGTTCAGCGCTGTCTCCTACTAGCCATTCCGCACTACGCTCGAGTCCACCCCTCTTTTTACACTGGGTTTATTTGTCGATTCTGCATTACGTTGTGGTCGCCTTGGGTTTGGCCCAATGCTCCCTCTAAGCTGTGGAGTCTTGTGAGCAAAAGTTCCACTTTGTGAGCTACTGGGCATTAAAGCTGTGAGCTATGAGCGATTTGGCTGCTGCATGAATTAGTTTGCCCGCTTTTACAACCACTACATCAGACTCCATTTGCCACATTGATGCCCGCTCACCCAATTTAGATAGCTCTTTCCTGAGCTTTTTCGCAATCGGCCACGTCGTTTTCACCATCCCAAAGAACTCTATACCGTCCGCAAGCTCGGCTTTTGGAAACGGAGATCCCTCGGTGCCGCACGCTCTTCCCCTTTTGTCTCTCCCCCAGTCTTGTTTCATAATTACTTTTATTTGTGGATCTGTGCAGAAAGTCGATTTATAAATATCACGAACAGATTTTTTTAAAAAAACCGTGAACAGACTTCTGCTCGCGTTCATCCCTGCTGGCGTCTTGTCCCCGTTCCCCTCCAAAGTCTGAATTTAGCTCATACCCTTCTGGAAGCTGGAATGTACCCTGTGCTTATCACCCCAGTCCCTTCAGAAAGTACATTGCGCACAGAGAGTGCTGCACAGATCAATGCCACGCCGGTCGCATGAATGCTCAGAAGAGACGGCCGTCCCCTTCTTCTCCCACAGGCTCCTCATTGGGCTGCTTCCACTGGTCGAAAGGGGTGAGGGTCCGGGCCACCCTGCGGCTCCTCCTGGAGTGGGCCCAGAGCGTGGGCTTCGGCCAACTGGCGGACCAGTTCTTCAGCAAGCTCTCCAGCGTGGCTAGCCTGTTGGCCATGCCGAATTCGCAGCTGGTCCAGGTAAGGAGCGGGCCCGAGCGAGGGCTTCCTGCCCTCCCATCCCCAGAGGGGTAGAAAAGAGGAAGCACCCAGGAGCCCCTTCAAGACGAACCGAATTGGTGGCAGGGGAGGAGCTTTCAGGAGTCACCGCCAAGGCTCCCTCTAAGCTGTGGAATCTCGTGAGCCGGAATTCTACTTTGTGAGCTCCTGGCATTAAAGTTGTGAGCAAGCAATTTGGCTACTGCATAAGTTAGCTTGCTCTGGAGCCCTCCTTCCTGAGCTGAGACAAAAATGTGTGAGCCGGAGGCTAAAAAACAGTGAGCTAGCTCACACTAACTCAGCTTAGAGGGAACACTGGTCACCGCCAATGCTCCCTCTAAGCTGTGGAATCTCGTGAGACGGAATTCTACTTTGTGAGCTCCTGGCATTAAAGTGGTGAGCAAGCGATTTGGCTGCTGCACCAATGAGTTTGCTCTGGAGCCCCCATCCTTCCCAAGCTAAGACACAAATGTGTGAGCTGGAGGCTAAAAAACTGTGAGCCAGCTCACACTAACTCAGCTTAGAGGGAACACTGGCTCACGGCTCATGAAAAGCTCTTCCCCTGCCACTAATTTTGTTAGGCTTTGTTGTGCTCCTGGCCTCTTGCTCTTTTCTGCTGCTAGTAGAGACAGACGAGCATGGCTACCCATCTTGATCACGCCCTGGGCTGGGGAGGCGACTCTGTTCATGCAGTCCATGGCTCGAGAGCTCATACCCGGGGTGAGGTTCAGCACGAAGGGCCACATGTGTTGGTCAATGTTCCTTCTAAGCTGTGGAGTCTTGTGAGCAAAAGTTCTACTTTGTGAGCTACTGGCATTAAAGTTGTGAGTGAGCAATTTGGCTGCTGCATTAAATCAGTGTGCTCTGGAGCCCCATCCTTCCTGAGCTGAGAAAAAAAATCTGTGAGCCAGAGGCTAAAAAACTGTGAGCTAGCTCACACTAACTCAGCTTAGAGGGAACACTGGTGTTGGTCCCTTGCAGGCGTCATTTCCTGCGGGAGTGCACAGGAGCGGAGCTCCGGTAGTAAAGAGCCCAGGAGGCGGGCACATGCAACAAGCCCCGCCCCCTGCTCCCAGCAGCCCTCAGTCAGAGCAAGAAGCAGCCAGGTAAGTTGCAGAGCCCCCACCCCGGCCCTCCGGTCCAAAACAGTCCAAAACAGCACTGCAGGCAACTCCACGTGCGCAGAACTGCAGCGTGGCATCGACAAGCGAGGCCAAACAGAGACACTCTGCCCTGTAGTCTCCATGATCAGGATGACCGCCCTGGCCTATGTTACTCTAGGAGTCCTTGCTGTGGTTTTTCCGCATGGCGGAAATGGGACAAATCACGACAGTTTGTTGGAATCTGGTTTCTGCGTGGCTCAGAGCCATTTCCCATCTGCCCCTTGATCGACAGTCGCCGCGCAAGGGAGGTATTCACGCAGCCAAGCTCCCAGGATGACTCCCCTAATCCTGTCAGCTGTCTTATTGGAGAGCCAGTCTGGTTTAGAGGTTAGACGAGCGCACACTCTAATCTGGGAGAACCGGGTTTGATTCCCCGTTCCTCCACATGCAGCTGCTGGTGTGACCTTGGGTCAGTCACAGGTTCTCTCAGAGCTGTTCTCTCAACGGCAGTTCTCTCAAGAGCTCTCTCTGCCCCACCTGCCTCCTAGGGTGTCTGTTGTGGGGAGGGGAAGGGAAAGGAGTTTGTGAGCCACTCTGAGACTCCTTCAGGTAGTGAAGGGCAAGGTATAAATCCAATCTCCTCTTCTTCTTCTTGAAAAAGAGCAGTTGCTGTCAGAACTCTCTCAGCCCCACCAACCTTACAGGGTGTCTGTTGTGGGGAGGAGAAGGGAAAGGAGTTTGTAAGCCGCTCTGAGACTCCCTTGGGTAGTGAAGAGCGGGGTATAAATCCAAACTCTTCTTCTTCTTAAACCCTGAGAGCCAGTTTGGTGTAGTGGTTAAGTGCGCGGACTCTAATCTGGGAGAACCGGGTTTGATTCCCCACCTTTCCACTTACAGCTGCTGGATGACCTTGGGCAAGCCGTAGTTCTGATAAGAGCTGTCCTTGAAAAAGAGCCGTTTCTGTCGGAGCTCTCTCAGCCCCGCCAACCTCTCAGGGTGTCTGTTGTGGGGAGGGGAAGGGAAAGTAGGAAGGGGAGTGGAAGGGGAAGGAGTTTGTCAGCCGCTCTGAGGCTCCTTCGGGTAGTGAAGGGCAGCGGGGTATAAATCCAATCTCCTCCTCCTCTTCTTCTTCCCAGTTGACCTGGCCCATGCTGAGGACGGAATTCCCAGCCCTGAACGCTGCTCAGCTTCACCACATACTGACCCAGTACCAGGCCTCCTCCGATGTGGGATGCGTACCCGGCTGGCAGCCCGGCAAGGAGGATAGCCTGGGGGCCTTCAGGACAGGTAAGGGGTCGCCAGCATGGCTGTGTTGGGATGGGTAGGGGCGTGATCAAGAAACCTAGGAGACCTCTGACCTGGATAGCCCAGGCAAGCCCCGTCTCATCAGATCCTGGGAGCGAAGCAGGGTTGACTTGGATGGGAGACCACCTTGGAATGCCGGAGGCAGGAGGTGGGGGCAGGCTTTAGTCAATCGCCACCCTGAATATCCTCCAGGCCCCCAGGAGGGGTCAGTTACAAGAGGTCACAGTGACTTGGATGGGAGACCACCTTGGAATACCAGAGGTCACGGTGCGTGCACAGTCACGCACAAACACACACACACACACACACGTATGAAAGATACAAAGGAAAAAGGGTCTTTGGCTGTATTTGGAAAATGCAGAGGTGCCCCGACCCGGATAGCCCAGGCGAGCCCGGCCTCGTCAGATCTCAGAAGCGAAGCAGGGCCGACTCTGGAAAGTTCATAGATGGGAGACCTCCTCGGAATACCAGAGGCGGGAGGCAGGGGCAGGCCTTACTCGGCCATCTCTCTGAATATCCTCCAGGCCCCCAGTAGGGGTCAGTCACCAGAGGTCGCCATGACCTCCAGGCACACGCACACTCACGTGCACATATAAAAAAATACCCCTCTCAAAAAAAACAAACCCTACAATTTGGGAGAGTGTTGGTTGGCATTTCTTTTTCTCCCCCAAAACCACTGACTGCTGAGGAACAATACTCAAGAGTTCCTGTGCTTTGGGGATAATCGACTGCCCCATTGCGCTTGAGAATCTGTCATACTGGGTGTAGACGACGGTCGTCTTGTTCCCAAGAACACAACGTTCAGAATAGGAAGGCTGATAATCCTCTTCCGAATTCATATCTTCCAGTGAACACGCATGAAGCTGCCTTACACCAAATCAGACCATCAGTGCGTCAAAGTCAGTCTTGTCCACTCAGACTGGCAGCGTCTCTCCAGGCAGAGAAAGGTCTTTCCCATCACCCACTACCTGATCCTCTTAACTGGAGATGCCGGGAATTGAACCTGGGACCTTCTGCGTGCCAAGCAGAGGCTTTTCCACTGAGCCACAGGCCCTATCAAGATCACAATTGCCTATGCTGACTATTAGCAGTTCTCCAGGGTCTCAGGCAGAGGTCTTTCCCATCACCTCCTACCTGGTCCTTTTAACTGGAGATGCCAGGGATTGAAACTGGGACCTTCTGCGTGCCAAGCAGAGGCTCTTCCACTGAGCCACAGGCCCTATCAAGATCACTATTGCCTATTCTGACTATTAGCAGTTCTCCAGGGTCTCAGGCGGAGGTCTTTCCCATCACCTTTTGCCTGGTCCTTTTTAACTGGAGATGCCGGGGATTGAACCTGGGACCTTCTGCGTGCCAAGCAGAGGCTCTGCCACTGAGCCACAGCCCCACCTCCTGTTGCAACTGTGATGGAAGTATTCTTCCCAGTGAGGAATTCTGTGTAACTTGAAATCGGACATACGTTGCATCCCAAAATGTAGGTTTTTATTTAGTTAGTTATTTACGTTTCTCATAGTCCGCCTTTCTCACTGAGAGATTGAAGGTCAGATGACACAGAGGGAGGCAATACAACCAACGGATGGGACAGTCAATAAACAGTGCAATAGAACCAACCATTTGTAGAACCAGGGCTATTGTGGGGCAGGAACGAAGAGGAACAGAGTTCCGGCTGGCTTCGGAGTTGGCCAAGCCCACTATAGCTAAAACCTCTGCAGTCGTGGCTGCAGAGAGAAGGCCTGGAGAGGTAATCCCCCCCCCCATGGCGACTCTGAGGCGGGCGGGCGGGGGGGGGGCTGTAAGTATCGGGGGCACCCGAGCAAGCCAAGGGAAGGCAGTTTACCCTCCAAAGCACCCCGGGCAAGCCAAGGGAAGGCATGGGGTGTGGCCTAATATGCTAATGAGTTTCTACTGTTGGGTGTGGCCTATTATGCTAATGAGTTCTTGCTGGGCTTTTTCTACAAAAAAAGCCCTTGATAGATAGATAGACAGACAGACAGACAGAATTAATATGGACAGTTGTCTAGTAAATTCTGAATCAAAATACTTGCTCAAGACACCAGAACAGCTTTTAATAGCAATAAATTGTTTCTTTTCGATGATCCCGAATTCCATTTCAGGATCCTAGTTTCAACAAGCTATTTATTTATTTATTTATTTGGATTTGCATTCCCGCCCTCCCCGAAGGCTCAGGGCGGCTAGCAGAGGCACAAATGCCAGATTATAACAATAAAAACAGTATAAAATACTGGACGTATATGTTACCAGCAGAATGTCCCTGTTTGCTTTGGCGGCAAAAAAGATAAGATTAAGGCTAGGATTCAGCGCAAGTTAGTGAAGGGATAACTTAATGTGATGTATAAGGATTGTGTTTGTATTTATGTTTTGTTATGGCCAATGGCTAATACAATAAACTTGATGATGATGATGATGAGTATAAAATACAATA